TGGAGTATAGTGTGGGAGTGAAGTCAATGGAATTATAATAGATATGTATGATATCGGGGAAGTGGGGTGGCGGATTGGGAAAGGGGGTTTGTCACTTTGAGGGGTAAAAAGTATAACTATTGCACTGTGTTGTACAGCTGAAACTAATTTTAAAAAATGTTTATTTCACCATTAAAAAAAAGAAAAAACATTGAAAAATACCTGATTTATAAAATAAAATTGTAGGCATTACAGGGGCAAAAAAGAAAAAGAAAGAAAGAAAGAGCATAGGCTCTCACTAACTCAGTGGCAGCTCCGCTTGGGCACAACTCACTGGCCCGTGTGGGAATCAAATCAGCAACCCTGTTGCTCTGAGTTCCTGCTCTAACCTAAACTGAGCCACTCGGCCGACACCCAGGAAATTTTAAACAATGTAATCTCACCCTAATGCCTCCTCTACCACATTCCTGCCAAAGGGCCACCTGGATATAAAGGCAGAACCACTCCCAGAAGTCCTTCAGAAAGCATGAGACAAAGAAACCGAAAATGGAGACATTTTTCTATTTTTAGAAAATGGGAGAGGGTTCCTGAAACTACACATCAAACAGTTTGATGTCAGTCCTCAAAGAAATCCTACTAAAAATTATATAAACAAATTGGGAGAACTCAGCAAACAGTAATTCTAGGAACTAGAACAGGTACAGCATGAACAAAAATGTCAAACTAACATCATTTTTCTTGATAGACCTACTTAGGTTGGTAGATCAAGACAATATTGTAGTCTTAGTATATCTTGGCATTTGTAAGTTTTCCATGATACAGTAGGCCAAACAAAAACAAAACAAAAATGTATCTGGGTTCCCCTAGAATCATACCATGAGATAAAGATTCAAGTTCAAATCTGTTTATATGGAAAGAGACACTAGGAAACAGTGGCAGGGAATGGGGAAGACAGGGGAAGAGAAGGAGGCCCATAAAGGGTGTATTATCCAGCAAGTTACTGCTGTGTACAAGTGGAGCCTATCCATCCCCACCTCCCACCCCATCCTGAGCCTCATCTCACACTCACCCGCCCAGCCCCAATATGTACTTCAGCCTGGACCCTATAAGCCATACCCCTGAAAAGCCATCAGAGTCTCAGGGGCTGGCAGCTGGAAATCAGGCCAGCACAAACAGAAATAGTAAGTGCCAAGATAAGGCCAGGAAACAAGAGGTGTTCATGGTTAACTGAAAAGGCAAGCAAAAAGTGTTTGAAAAATAAAAATTTAAGGAATTACTATAGTATAGTACTCATCACTTTGTTCAGGGATATTATTTATTTGGATATGGAATTTCAATCAAAATATTTTGTTTTCAGCTGGAAGTGGTTTCTCTACACAAGCTACATTAGCATATTCTTTTGTTTTAAATTAACAATTCATTTGAAAATCTACATTTTCAAATATTTGTATTTGCACAATGCTCTACATTTGCAAAGCAATTTCACATTTTCTAACTCAGTTTTGCACTGTCACTCCATTCCCACTGGCACTTTTTCTACTCCTGAAACACAGAAATTTTTTCCATCTTAGGACCTCTGCACTGTTCTCCAGCTGCTTTCTCTATTAGGAATGTTCAACCCCTGAAACTCTTTGCAAAGTTGGCTTTTAATGCTTTAAGTCTCAGTATCGGACATCACCATCTCAGTCAGCCCTTCCTTAATACTATCTAACTAGAAGGGCTGCTGTCCTTGTCTTTACTCTTTTTCACAATACTCTATGCATTTCCTTCAAAGAACTTCATATATTTGAACAATTCATGTATTAACTGTTTCACTACTACAGGTCTACAAACTCCATGAGGGGCTGCAATTCCTAAATCATAGCATTATGACCGGCAAATTCAGCAAGTATTTTGTGAGGGGGGAAAAAGTAGTAACAAATTAACCAGTTAACTAAATGATCCTGTATTTTCGACAATGGAAAACATCCATTTTAATCAGTTAAAATTTACAATTTTAATAGTGCTATCTTATTCCTCTAACATATCATATCCTTATCAATCCCCAAATAAAAGCACAACAATCCTAAAACCTCTGAAATGAACACACTACTTTCCAAAATGTGAACTAATGAAAGTTAACTATTATACGTTTACCTCATTATTGGTATAATGTAGATCCATCGACTGTCCAAAGGCAATTTTAGCTTTAGACCTCAGATCTTCCAGTTTAACTGGTCTGGGAAACTGGAGGATTCTATATAGACAGAATTTTTAAATATTTTATTGTCTTGGGCATAAATAACATACTTGCAACAGTTATCTCTTGGGTAAATTAAAAATAAGTTAAAGTGCAAACATTCACTCGGCTTGAATACTACACAATGGCTCATTTTTGATCAAGTGCAACTAATTCTCAACACAAAGTTAAAAAACTATGAAGTTTGTTCTACTAAAAATTATAAAAAGCAAATTCTCAAAATGTTCTGCAATGGAATGCAATGAAACTATTAAAAAAATAAAGTTGTTCTTTGGGGATTTGAATTTTGATTTCTGTACCCTTATGAACTGAACATTTCTGAGTTCATATATATCATACCCCCCACATATAAGCATACCCCAAAATATATGTAAGATTTTACTGGGGAATTAGGGGAGGGGAACAGCGTTGGGGAATCGGGGAAGGGGAACAAACAAGTTGCTGTCCTTTTGTTCTTCAGTCTAGTTGTGGAGGACGTTGCTTCACTTCCCCATGTTGGTATTATCATTGCGTTCTTCCTGGGTGAGGCAGTCGCTCACCCGTCATTGGATGGCCTCTCACAGTGGCTCACGGCAGCTCACGAAAGTTCATGCCAGCTGCCCACCAGCCCCACTGCAGCCTATGCCGCGGCCAGCGATTCATGGCAGCCCAGCTCCAGGTCGAGCTGCCGTTCACCATCTTAGCTGTAGAGGGCGCAGCATCACTGGCCCTCATGTGGGATCCGAACCAGGACCCTGCCACTCAGAGCTGGTGTCCCAAGCCAACTCCTAACCAACGCGCCACTCGGCCGGCCCTACGTATTTTTACAGGATTAAAAATTGTAAATTCTAGTATTTTCTTCCTATATCGCAAAGGACTGGCCTGTGCTGCCCCTGGGAGCAGGCACCTAAGCTTGGAGACTACTATACCAGACTGTAAGCTCTGTAAGAGGAGGAACTATCTGTTTCACTCACTTTATTCCTTCATGGCCCAGCAGTTAGTAAGTACTAAATAAATAGTGTTCCATGAATGGGGGAAAAAAAACAAAAACTGAGAAAATATCCATAAAAGAATTGTAAATAAAAACAACTAGATTGGACAGTACTTCTATGGTATATCCCTTTTTTTTTTAACATCTCTGTGTAAAATATTTTTACATTTCAGGTTATATGATTTGTGGGACCTCTTTAAAGTCCTTAAACTGGATAGATCCTTTATCAAATTAATTTAGAGGCACAAATAACAGAAATAAAATCCCATATTCTCCAACTCCTATTAGGCCTTGTTGGCAATTCTGTAGTTAACCACAGCCACCCACCCCAATGCTGTACTGAGATACAAATGCCGACGGAAGGCTAGGTATTTACACCTCTCTAAATAATTTACAGTCACCATTCCAACTCACTTTCCTCAATTTTACTAACTCAATACATGTCATATGATTGTAGTCTCTTGAAAATAATCAAAATTGTAAATGCTAAGTCCACATGCATAAATTCCATGTAGTATCTGAAACAATGATATAATTATGAAATAGAGAAATGTATTTAATTTCCACTGAGTAAAAATAAAATAAATTGTAATATTTAAAGGCTGCATTATGCAGGGATCATATTATTTCCTAATACTGCAAAGTAAAACATTTATCATTTTTAATGTTTAGCCTGAATTTTGACAGATTGATTCTCTCTCAAATCTAAATACATGTTACACATTACCAAGGACTATTCCATTCTCAGTTTGTAAGCCATGAACCTCTATGGCTTTAACAAGGAACACATTTAATTAAATCAATAAACTGAACTGTAATGTTTTTTTCCTTACCTTTTTTCTCCCCTGTGTTCAAATTTGACTCGGACATCATTCTGTAATGAAATGATAAATCTTTTCAGAGATCAGATAAAACTTCTAGAATTTCCAAATCATTTTTTTCTTTGTCATTTAAAATACAGCAGAAGTGGAAGCAGGATTCATTTTCAGTGTGAACTAAAATCAATTGATAGTATCTGCCAAAGAGCTGAGTTGAGAATTATGTTGCTGAATCTGGGTTCAACAGGAAAGATCACCCAGATCTATTAGTGATGGCATCATGGATATGAGACATTTGCTAATCCTATTTGAGGGAAATATAGAATACTATATTTCCATTTTTCATGTTGGACATTCCAAAAAATTTTTATCTGTAAGAATCAAAATGATCCTCATTTGTAAATATACAGATTATTTTAACTCTAATTTTAAAAATAACTTTAAAAATAATTTGCTTATCTTAAGTGCTTTAAGAATGGATGAAATATCAGCTTCAGAGAGCACTTACCACATTAAAGGAAACTATCATTTTTTTAAACATTCGTCCTTATGGAAAAAATGTATAACAAACAAGAAAATATTTGATTCAATAGTGTAAAAGTTAAACACTTTAAGCAAACCCTCTATAAGATCAGGATATTCAAAGGAAATAAATCATAGAATAATAATATGTATTTATTAAAATATTATTGAAACAAGTACCTGCTTTTTTGGTGATAATGACTTTGTTTTTCTCGTTTCCTGTAAGGATAATGCTGGTCGACTGGCCTTATGAAGAACAGCCAAATCTTGCATGATTGAGTTCAAAGCTTGCTGATCATCTAGGTTTTTTAAAAATAACATATACACAGAATTGTAATTTCAATATGTATTTATTATAGACAAAATTTATAATGAAATTTAATGGAAAAATGCATTAGTTTAATGCAAAAATGCATCTAGAATATTGTCACTGCCTACACTTGTTATTTTTATGAAGAATTTTTAATTTAAAAACTAAAGACAAGTAACATTAAAACAGCACTAGACTCAAGCATGAGACATTTAACAGGCAAGATAAAGTCATTCATTCAGCTTCCAATGATGTAACACCCTAGGATATGGGTCAAAACAGCACTGTTATGAAAAATTATTTTCTGTGACGCCTAAAAAAAACACCAACAAGACATCTAAAATCTTAATTAAAGCAAGTGGAGGAGAGGGATAAACAACTTTCTATAAATACTATCATTACTTAGCATTTATGTTCCAAGTACAGAATTCCTTTTAGGGTCTTTCTCTTTCATCAGTACTTCAAGTAAGAAACAAACAAAAAAAGCTTTATCTGTGGATACTGGCCTACTGAGTTTTGGAAATATTTTCTAGAACTTCTCCATAATGTTCAACAAGACTACAAACATTTAAAACTATTTAATAATCTCAGCCAGGAACAATTCAAATGGTAACAATACAAGAAAAATCCATTCCTAAGAAAAAAATACTGAACCCATAAAACTAAGTGAAAGAAGTATTAACCGTATACTTTTAATCTTTTCCAAATATATCAAAGATTTCTTTCCAGACTATAATAAGCATGAGCCGCCTACGAATGCCAATTAAATACTCTCTGGAAAACTTCCGGGACAGTGTAATTGTAATTTTCACTAGTAAATCAATTCCACTAATAATAATCAACAACTGGTAAATAAAGGAATTGAGAGACATTTTAAAATGCAGCCATTTTGTTGAGTAATAATTTACATTCCAGAGTAGTAATAATTAAAACATGCTTTATCCTGTAAGGAAAAACCATTAAAAAGAATGTGGCAATTCCATGGCTTCATCAGTCTTTCAAACATACAAATAGCTGACATCCCTAATGTATTAATCTTTTATAACAATATATTCTGTTGTATAGTAAAACTATTTGCATAGTAAAATTAAAATTAATGGCTGCAAGGGTTTAATAAATTCCAGGTTTAGAGAAAGTTTTATTATCCTTCACAAAGTATCCTTTGTAAAATAAAATTTCATCATGTTAGGTTAGCTAAACAGTAGTAACTGATATAATCACAACATGTGTACTGTCCATGTGTCCAAGCCAGACTATGTCGTTAACTGATTAAAAAAAAAATCTTTCCTAGGCAAAGAATAAGGTGAGAATGATCTCAACTAGAATAAAATTATCTGATATAACCTCCTTGAGGTTAAGACCCTTAATTCTACACTGGGGAGAGGGGAGCTCTAATACTTAAATGTATCTATGTTTTAATTATTTTCTTAATTAGAAAAAAACTTAAAAACTTGAACTTAGGCATTTTCATATGTTTAATATCACAATACCAAAATAAATAAATGCCTGGGAAGGATCTGGCTTAAACTTTTATCACATTTATATATACTTTATATATATATATATATATATATATATATATATATATATATATATAATTTCCTTGTTAAAAAAAAAAAAATGAGGGGCCGGCCGAGTGGCTCAGTTGGTTAAGAGCGTGAGTTCTGAACAACAGGGTCGCCGATTCGATTCCCACATGGGCCAGTGAGTTGCTCCCAAGCTGAGCTGCTGCTGAGCTGCCAATAGGTGGCAGGATGGCTCAGCTGGTGAGAGCACATGCTCCTAACAACAAGGTTGCGGGTTCGACTCCTGCATGGGATGGTGGGCTACACCCACCCGGAACTAAGATTGAACATGGTACCTTGAGCTGAGCGGCAACGAGCTGCCAACAGGCGACTGGATGGTGACTGGACTTGGAGCTGAGCTAGCTGTGCCCTCCACAACTAAGATTGAAGGACAACAACTTGGCTGTTCCCCTTCCCCAGTTCCCCAATAAAAAAGAAAAAAAAAGGGGGGGGGTAGTACTGTTTTCTAGTTATTGTAGATATACAAAAGAGGGCAATCTGAACAAAAGTACCTTCTTAGAGTGATGACATCTAATAAAAGGCAATTTCATCGAGTTTCTTCTTTTTCTGGCTTGAAGAAGAATCACATCATAGATAAGTACCCAATAGGAAACTTACTTTGAGGAGGCTGACAAGATGTAAGCTACAAAATGCACAAAAGATCAAGCCAAGTGGTGTGCTGCGATACACCACACACCACGAGCACTATTCTAACAATTCTTATGCTGTTTTACTCTATTAAGAATCTCTGGGGCCGGCCGAGTGGCGCATTAGTTAGGAGTTGGTGTGGGATGTCAGCTCTGAGCAGCAGAGCACCAGTTCGGATCCCACATATGAGGGCCAGTGACGCTGCGCCCTCTACAGCTAAGATGCTGAACAACAGCTCGACCTGGAGCTGGGCTGCCGGGTGAGTCCCCAGCAACAGCGTAGGCTGCAGTGGGGCTGGCTGGCAGCTGGTGTGAGCTTTTGTGAGCTGCCATGAGCCTCCATGAGCGACAATCCAATGGTCAGCGAGCGACTGCCTCACCCGGGAAGAGCACAATGATAATACCAACATGGGCCAGTGAAGCGACATCTTCCACAACTAGAATGAAGAACAAACAGACAGCAACTTGTCTGTTCCCCTCCCCCCAATTCCCCAATAAAATCTTAAAAAAAAAAAGAATCTCTGTGGTGGTCATAGGTACTAGGCAGGTTAGACAGGTTATGAATGCTGTAGGATCATGAGTAGATCCAATAGGCATTAAGGATGACCAGAGGATCCCAGAGTCTGACCTATAGTCACAGAGCAGCAGTGGGTTTCTGACACATGTTGAAAGGACATTTAGTTGAGCACAAAAACAGAAAATATTTGGAAAATAATTTCAAACAAAATCTTTTATTAGACATGTTTAATTAGATACCTTATACACTTATTCATTATACTTGAAAAATAATTAAAGGAGAGCATCCTAAATAAAAAATTCAAATATCTGTGATTCACACTTTAAAATACTCATAGTTTTCTCTGACTACCTTTGTACATGTTTTTAAGCAATGGCTGGTCTTTGTTTTGTTGCTTACTATAGTGAAGTATTTGAGTAGAATGGTAGAAATCAATTTGATTAACACACAGCTCAGATTGCAAGTAAGAGTGACCAATATGAAAAGTGGATAGGAGTTCCTTAAAAGGATAGCCACTTTGGAGGTGAAGCTGGCAAGAGAGGAGAATGTGGACCACACAGTGGCACTGCAGTCATGGTTACTAAGAAAAAGTGGAAGAGAAATTTACAAAGTGGGAAGGTGGAGCTTTGGCTTACACGCTTGCCACAAGTAAACTCACTGAAAGTGTGCTAGCACTTCCACTAAAGAACATGGACAAATTTAAGCTCTTTGGCCTATACCGTCATACATACACATACACACACACACACACACACACACACACACACACAAGGAATACTACATTTGTTAAGCAAGTAATAGGAAAACTGTGACTAAGACAAACACAGGCAAGTCTACGTCACAATTAAGATATCAGTATCAGTCTAAATTTTAAAACTTAGCTTCCAACTACTTGTCAGTCCATTTCCCCCATTTGGGACAGGGTAGGCCATTCGCTCCATTTCTTTCTAGTGTTTCCCTGTTCAATCCCTACCTCACATTAGAATCTTCAAACCCAAGGAGAAAAGGAAAAAAGAAAATGGAGGTAAGGAAGAAAACAAGTTGATATGTAAACTGAACACCCATAATCCATTCCCATTCTTTAGTCTCCCTTTCCATTAACATTGTAATACCACAGGATATTCACAAGAGCTGTAAAACACATCCTCCCTGAGCGCCAATTTTTGCTGCTCTATTGTTATAAAATTTTATGATTTATTATTTTTATGCTATTTTATTTAGTCTATCCATATTATTACACTGTTGGGTAACTGTAACAATTAATTCCTAAGAACTTATTAAACCTTTAAAAGTCAGGTTAATTTATCAAGTATTCTTTCTGGCTATCAGACTCTAAGAAAATTACAATCCATCTTAACAGTTTATTTTGTTTTTATTTATTTTATTTTTT